TCAGGGTAACACTGACCTGGAATTTAAAGGAAAGCCATACACTGGCTTGGAACTCCACCCAAGACTGTCTGGGAGGTGTCAAATTGTGCAGGACCTACCTTCCAAGGTTTTGGACTTAACCACCTGGCAATGGGTAGTTGGGGCATGGATTCTGAGGGTTCTGATCATCAGCAATACAATCGCAGCTGGCCCTGATTCCTTAACCTCTGGTTTCTGAAGTTTGGTTTTCACTGGGGCAGGTCCAAATCAGCACAACAGGGGGTCTTTTTTGCGTTAGTGGACAGAGTACTCAGCCTCTCTTTGTCCACTTGGACAGCACACAGAATAAGTGGTCTGGGGCAAATAGACTTTAAATGAGGACACAATTTTCTATGACCAGCACAAATCATACAACAGAACATAGTGCAGTGCACACTACTATCTGTCTGTCTGGCAATGCTTAATTTGATAAACTGTAATTAAAATTATGACACAACACAGAAGTGTAGTAGCCACGCACTGTAGGCAGTTATTTTTACATGAATTTTTAGTGCCAAGCTCTTTTTCAAAACTCTTCATGCAAGAAAATGTTGAAGCTCAAAATTTTAAGGCAACACGATGCATTAAGATTTCTGAGTCATCCTCTCTAAGCTTCATTTAACTTTTGTTGTTCATCCAGGATCAGGCAGCCAATAAAACTTAAAAGTTTTAACAGGGGACTCCTGAATGACTGAATTATTCTTTGGCAGAACAGTGCTGGATATGGTGTGTAAACATGTTAGCATTTACACAACCCCATTCCAAAAAAGTTGAAATGCTGTGCAAAATGTAAATTAAAACAAAATGCAATGATGTTCAAATCATTTAAACCCTATATTTCATTGAAAATAGTACAAAGACAACATATCATGTTGAAACTGAGAAACCTTATTGTTTTCTGAAAAATATTTGCCCATTTTGAATTTGATGCCAACCACACGTTCCAAAAAAGTTGGGATGCGGGCAACAAAAGGCTGGTAAAGTTGTGTAATGCTAAAAAAACACCTGGTGGTTGATTGACAATGGATCAGTAATATGACTGGGTAAAAAAAGAGGGTCCCAGAGAGGCTGAGTCTTTCAGAAGTAAAGATGAGGAGGGGTTCACCACTCGGTGAAAGACTGCACGATCAAATAGTGCAACAATTCAAGAGTAACGTTTCTCAACATAAAATAGCAAAGAACTTTTGCTTTTCATCATCTACGGTACATAATATCATTAAAATATTCAGAGAATCTCTGTATGTAAGGGACAAGACCAAAAACCAGTATTTGCTGGCCGTGACCTTTGGGCCCTCAGGACCCAAAAGTCACGACCAGCAAATACTGGCCGTGACTAATGGCCAGTAGTAACGCAGGAGGCACTGCATTAAAAACAGACATGATTCTGTTGTGGAAATCACTGCATGGCCTGAGAAACACTTCTGAAAAACACTGCATCCACAAATGAGAGTTAAAACTCTAAAACACAAAGAAACCAGATATAAATGCTGCCACCTTCTCTGGGCCTGAGCTCATTTAAAATGGATGAGGGGAAGTGGAAAAGTGTCCTGTGTTCTGATGAATCAACATTTAAAATTCTTTTTGGAAATCATGGACACTGTGTCCTCTGGGCTAAAGAACACTCAACTAGTTATCAGTGCACAGTTCAAAAGCCAGTATTCATGATGGTATAGGGGGGCATTAGTGCACATGGCATGGGTGACGTGCACATCTGTGAAGGCACCATTAATGCTGAATGATATATACATGTTTTGGCAACATATGCTGTCATCCAGATGTCTTTTTCAGGGAAGGCCTTGATTATTTCAAATAGAAAATATCAAACCACATTCTGCATGTATTACAGCAGCATTGCTCCATATTAAAAGATTCCAGGTGCTAAACTGGCCTGCCTGCAGTCCAGACCTGTCCCTCTTTGAAAACATCTGGTGCATTATGAAATGAAAAATATGACAAAGGAGACCCTGAACTGATGAGCAGCTGAAATCCTATATTAAGCAAGAACGGGAAAACATATCACTTTCAAACCAACAGCAGTGTCTCCTCAGTTCGCAAACACTTACAGAGTGTTTGAGGTGAAGAGGTGATGAAACACAATGGTAAACAGGCCCCCATCCCAACTTTTTTGGAACATGTTGTTGGCATCAAATTCAAAATGGGTATATATTTTTCAAAAAGCAATAAACTTTCTCCATTTCAACACTTCATATGTTGTCTTTGTAGTATTTTCCTTAAAATATGTTTTACATGATTTATATATCATTGCATTGTATTTTTATTTACAATTTGCACAGCATCCAACTTTTTTGGAAATGGGGCTGTAGTTAGTGCTTTTATTGTTGCAGTATTCTCTGATTCAAATTGACAGAGGAACATAAAAGCACCTATAAAGGTGAAACTCCTCATCAAACATCCCACAATTATCATAAACGAAGCAGCGCAGTTGTCGAGAACCAAGTTACACTCCAAAAATGATGTAATTGACAGGCAACTGTAAATTTTTGTTACAATGAGAAAGAAAACATTTGTCCTCATCCACACCCCATCTCCTGATATTTTTGAAAATGCTTATTTTTCCCTTGATCTTGTCACCCCAATGTGTACTGACTGCAGACTGAAGTAAGGCGAAGCTGGATATGGAGCGTTTGAAAAAAATAGGCCAAAAGGAACTATGGGGGGCTTCACTATGTCTAATATGTCAAACCACTGTTGAAACGGAATCACAGCTTGAGCAACATGTAAATCAAGTCCAGCTTAGACCGTCACAGCCTTTTGGTGGTGCTGTTGTTCTTGAGTCCACAGACTTCCAAAATAATCAGCCTCAAGTCATTTGTTAACAGCAACTAAAATCAGGGTTGGGATGTAAGTATTCAGAATATATATTCCAAATACAGAAGCTAAATATCTGTATTCAGTCAGAGTTACATTTTGTAAATACAGTATTCAAAATAGAGTTACTTTTACATTTTTAGGAAAATAATAATAAAAATGCACTCTAAATAATAAAATAATATTATATAAATTATATATATACACACACAGATACACGCACATACACACACACACACACACACACACACACACACACATATATATATATATATATATATATATATATATATATATATATATATATATATATGTATGTATGTAGACTGAAAAATGAAAAATGTAGATTGATAAATCAGTGTGATCAGTTATTAATCTCAGCATTACTGAGCTCTGCTAAAGCCTAAGTAGACTGAAAAATCAGTGTGATCAGTTATTAATGCTTGATGCTTTTCAGCTGTTCAAAGCCATCAATGCTGAGTTAATTAAGACTAATTCTTCTTTCTGTAAACGACTGTCTGCAAATTTACACAGAACTTCAACATGTTAAAAAAGGGAAAACTCTCCCATATTAGGTTACTTTATCTGTTTTGTTTGCCCAGGTATGTATTCAGTAGTCATTATTTTTTACGTTTTTTGCCCAACCCTGTCTTAAACAATCTGGAACATTTCAAAGCCTTTCTTTGACAGAGAGAGAGGGTCTCAGTGTTGCTAGCCCACTTACACCAGTTCTTATCTGTTCTTTAAATTTGTTTCTCTTAAATATAACTTAACCAATCATTACAGACATGCTTTGTTTAGTTTCCAGAAATCATTAGACCATGTTTGAAGGTCTAAAAGGCCCTGAGGGTTTCTCACTGGTGAGTAGGAGTGGAAGTGCAGGTGCAGATGGGCGTATGTGAGAGGAATGAAGTGATCAGACTGGAATATCTGTGTTTGATAACGCTCACGCATTGCAAAGAGACCAGGCAGTGCAGCACTGACTCGCTCACAGGTAAGACTCTCTCTCTCTCTGTGTGTATCTCTCTCTCTCTCTTTCTCTCTCTCTCTCTCTCTCTCTCTCTCTCTCTCTCTGTATCTCTCTCTGTATCTCTCTCTGTCTCTCAGACACTCAGACAGGTGGGACTCATCAGTATTGATGTAAATGCCTGAGTTTGTGTTTCTGTGTGTAGCTCAATCTTCACTACAGGCTTGAAGTTCTTAATATGTTCCAAAATATAAACTTTAAGGCATTTAAAGCTTCAGCAAATCTTACTAATCTGTTGTTTTTACTGATCTTTACTCAACTGAGTTACTGCAAACCTGTACGCAGATCTGGGTGATATGGCAAAAAATATAATCACAATACTTCAAGAAAGTTTTCACAATAAACAGTGTCACAGTATTTACTGTTTTTTTTTCTTCACTATTTACTTCTGAGCTGCTCCAAATCCAATTTAACAGGACTAATTATGCTCTCTTTGATGAAACACACAGCTGGACAGTGTTCTTTAAGCACATATCTCATTTATAAGAGAAGCATATTGTGACTTGATGTGATGTAATTAATCACAATGGCAATAAATATCAGCCGTACACCCAGGACCTCTTACAGCTCAGTTAGTAGAAGATGGTTTTCTTACAGAGCTGCTAAACTATGTTAGGGAGGCAAACAAACGATTTTACATGCAAATTGAAAACATGTTTAGCTGGGAGCTGTGGTTCATTTTCACCTGATGTGTTTTAGAGCACTGTGTTTTATTGATAATCACTGTAACTAAAATGAAAAGTGTAATGTAAACCTTTTTTTTGTGTTGTTGTGCTGTAGTGTATTTTCAGTGCACTACTTTGCTGTCAGTATGTGGCTGTGTTTTGGTGTTTTTGTATTCAGACACACTTTTTCAGATTCCCTGGTTTGAATGGGCATTTTATGAGTGTGAGTTCACCGCAGTGATGTTATTCTGCTCTAATCATGAGCCGTGAGCTTAGAGTTACTCAGTGAGCTGCTTTGCTGTGTCGTTTGAGTCGTGATTGTTGACTGAGCTGTTCGGTTCTCTCTGATCATGCAGTCTGATCAGATAAGCTCCAGATAAAGTCAGTCAGAGGGAGAACGCAGCCGCGCCGGTTCCTCCACATTCTTCACTCCGACCTGCAGAGTGGAATGCAGCCGAATCTCCTAAAGGCCAAATGCCACATTCTTTACATTCTGTTATTCTCTCAGTCCTCCTCCCCTCCTCTATCACTCTCTCTCTATCGCTGCATCTTTCTTTTGCTCTAACATTTTCATTCTATCAGTTCATCACTCTTTCCTATTGTTCTCTCAGTCCAGCACTCCTGCATGCTTTCACTCTGCTTTTATTCTCTCCTGCCATCATGTTTTAACCTGCATTTGTCTGCTCCCGCATTCATCCATCCATTCATTCATTCATTCATTCTTTCTTTCATTCCTTTATCTTTCTCTGGTGTTTTTCAGTGTTGATGCTTCGCTCACACGGCTTCATTGAAGAACCTGCAGAATGTCAAGTGGTGCGTTTTATTTAAACACACACACACACACACACACACACACACACACACTCTCTATTGGACTTTATTCTTCCATTGCTTAAATATGTTTGGACTTGATCAGAAAAAATAGTAACACCAGGTTTGGGATCCACTGCAGGACTGTATTAACCATAAATATAAGAACAGTCAGAACTAATAAACAAACTGCATATAAAAGTGTTCTGTGTTTCAGACGTAGACCGGCAGGCGGTTCTCCGCACCACTAAGGTTCGAACGGCCCTAAAGAAAGATGGCAGCTGGATCCGCTGCAGCATTGACCAACCGGAAGACACGCAACCACAGTAACCACACAAACACATATAACCTCAAATAACAACTTACAGCATCATATAACTTCATATGGCTATGTACATCATGCAGTCTCATTAAACCACATACAAACACAGATAACATCATATAACAACTTACATCATATAATCTTATGTAACAACGTACAACATCAAATAATCGTATATAACAACGTACAACATATGATCTTATTTAACAATGTACAACCCCAATTCCAAACAAGTTGGGATGCTGTGTAAAATGTAAATTAATGTAAATAAAAACAGAATGCAAAGATTTTCAAATCTCATAGATCCATATTTATTCACAACAGAACATAAAACACATATCAGATGTTGAAAGTGAGACATTTTATCATTTCATGAAAAACAAGTTTCAAGTTTTAGGTTTCAATACTGATATTGCCGTATCAGTCGGTACTTGACTGAGAGGAATTTCTTTTGGCACTGCTCAAACACACACAACACAACACGCAAACAATATACACTTCTACACAAAACATATACAATCTCAGTAAAAGAAACAAACATTGACATAAACTAATCCACGTCAAGACTGTGGAGTGGAGTTCAAAGGTCTGATGGCAGAAGGGTCAGTACTATACTGAACTGAGATGTACAACATAAAATGCTTTGAAACCTTTTGCCAGAGGGAAGCTTTTTAAAAAGGTGCTCTGCTGGGTCTGAACTATCTGCATAGATTTTAATGCTTTCTTTTCCATCCTTTTGGCGTATATAGAAGCGATAGATGGAAGTTCGCAAACAATGATTTTGGAGGCAGAACGCACCACTTTCTCTAGCTGCTCTCTCTCATGTGCCACTGTACCACCGTACCAGACACCTATGGAGAAGGTCAACACACTTTACACTATAGCTCTATACAAGCGTATCATTCTCTAGTCACACAAAATTTGTTAAGCTGTCTGTATGATACTGTTATATACTTTATATTAATTCATTTAGAACTTGATGGCAGCAACACATCTCAAAAATTTGGGATGGGGCAACAAAAGGCTGGTAGTAAAAAAAGTAAGTGGTACTAATATAAAACAGCTGGAGAAACAATTTGTAACTCACATAACTGTGTATAAAAAGAGCATTTTAGAGAGGCAGAGTCTTCTTGCAGGTCGGGTCAAAGGGGAAAAAGCCCTGACCATCTCTCAAGATGGTGGCTTGGTGACCATTTATACCTTTGTGCGCCCCCATCTGGCAATCATGTACCTGCACATAAGGGGAAACACAACAGGGAAAACACAAAATGCCAGCACAAGGCACACAAAAGGTATATTATGACCAGGGGTCATAACAGAAGCAAAGATGGGCAGAGGTTCATTAATCTGTGAAAAACTGTGTCTAAAAATAGTGGAACAATTTCAGAAAAATGTTCCTCAATGTAAAATTGATATCCCACCATCTACAGTACATAGTATCATCAAAAGATTCAGAGAATCTGAAAAAATCCCTTTAAGCAAGGGACAAGGTCGATGGTCAATATTGGACGCCCATGATCCTCGGGCCCTCAGGCAGCACTGCATTGAAAACAGGCAAGATTCTGTACTGGAAATCACCGTATGGGCTCAGGAACACTTCCAAAAATCAGTGTCTGTGAACACAGTTCGCCATGAAATCCACAAATGCAAGTGAAAGATGCATCATGCAAAGAAGAAGCCATATGTCAACACAATCCAGAAACGCCGCCGTCATCTCTGAGCCAAAGCTCATTTAAAATGGACTGAAGCAAAATTGAAAACTGTTCTGTGGTCAGATGAATCAAAATCTGAAATTCTTTTTGGAAACCACGGATGCCATGTCCTGCAGACTCAAGAGGAGAGGGACCATCCAGCTTGTTATCAGCGACAGTTCAAAAGCCTGCATCTCTGATTGTCTGGGGTTGCATTAGTGCCTATGGTGTGAGCAGCTTACACATCTGGAAAGGCACTATCAATGCTGAACACTATATAGAGGTTTTAGAACAACATATGCTCCCATCCAGACAATGTCAGGGAAGGCCTTGCATATTTCAGCAAGACAATAAACCACATATTGCATCCATCACAACAGCATGGCTTCACAGAAGAAGAGTCCGGGTGCTGAACTGACCTGCCTGCAGTCCAGACCTTTCACCAATGTGTTGCTGCCATCAAGTTCTAAATGAGTTAATGTTTTTCATGAAATGGTAAAAAGTCTCACTTTCAACATCTGAAACGTGTTCTATGTTCTGTTGTGAATAAAATATGGGTCTATGAGATTTCCAAATCATTGCATTCTGTCTTTATTTACATTTATTTACATTTTACACAGTGTGCCAACATTTTTGGAATTGGGTTTGTACAACATCAGATAATCTCATATAACAATGTACATCATTTAACCCTATATATCCACATAACATGTTGTTGCTGTCAGAACAAACAAGTAACTTTGGAGAAGAAGGAAATTTCAGTTTCTTGCACCAAAAAAGGTTCTTCTATTGTTGCAAACTTGACATAACAATAGCAGAACCCTTGTTGGTACTACATAGAACCCTTTTCAAAAAGGTTCTATATGGAACCATCTAGAGAACATTCTTCATCAACCTGAGGGACCATTTCATAATGCAAAGACCCTTTTACTCATGCAAAGGGTTCTTTGAGTGTTCATGATTCTATGTAGAACCATTTTCTTCACTAAAGAACATTTAGGGCTATCTTTTTTGCAGTGTACTGCATGTGGTCAGCTCATAACGTAGAAAAACAATTTGACCTCGAATAACATATAAACACACTCTGTCTCACTGTCTCTCTCTCTGTCTGTCTGTCTCTCTGTCTCTCTTTAGGAAGTCTCCAGTCTCAGTGAAGCCACTGAATTTCACTCCTGTGAAGTCCAGCACGTTGTCCATTCCACAGAGCCCTGGCCCCCAGAGCCCCGCCCCACCAAGCCCCTTTCCCCACAAACCTACTCAGTCAAGCCTCACCCCCCAGAAACCTGCTCAGCTGAGCACCTCCCCTCCAAAGCCTGAGCCTACTCAGTCAAGCCTCACCCCCCAGAAACCTGCTCAGCCGAGCACCTCCCCTCCAAAGCCTGAGCCTACTCAGTCAAGCCTCACCCCCCAGAAACCGGCTCAGCCGAGCACCTCCCCTCCAAAGCCTGAGCCTACTCAGTCAAGCCTCACCCCCCAGAAACTGGCTCAGCCGAGCACCTCCCCTCCAAAGCCTGAGCCTACTCAGTCAAGCCTCACCCCCCAGAAACCGGCTCAGCTGAGCACCTCCCCACCAAAGCCTGAGCCTACTCAGTCAAGCCTCACCCCCCAGAAACCGGCTCAGCTGAGTACCTCCCCTCCAAAGCCTGAGCCTACTCAGTCAAGCCTCACCCCCCAGAAACCTGCTCAGCTGAGTACCTCCCCTCCAAAGCCTGAGCCTACTCAGTCAAGCTTCACCCCCCAGAAACCGGCTCAGCTGAGCACCTCCCCACCAAAGCCTGAGCCTACTCAGTCAAGCCTCACCCCCCAGAAACCTGCTCAGCTGAGTACCTCCCCTCCAAAGCCTGAGCCTACTCAGTCAAGCCCCGCCCCCCAGATTCCCACCTCTCTCCAGGACACGCACACCCCTTCAGGGTCTAAAGGAAGAGCTGGCCGCTCCTACGTGCTCTCAGCGCTGAAGAAGTTTGAGTAAGTGTTAAACTCTAAACATTGAGAGAGTTCATATGAAATTACGGGACGATAGAAGGTGATGGAGTGAGATTCATGGAGCTTTTCAACTCTTTTCATTTACACTAAAAAACAAAACTGAGGGTTAATGTCTGAGCTGAACTTCAGATAATAACCTGATTATATCATTAATTAATGTTATAAGTAATGTTATATATGTAGTCATATTTCAAAGCTAGTTAGCTAACACACACCAAATTGGGCTACTTGTTTTGCTGGTGTGAGTGGATCAGACACAGCAGAGCTGCTGGAGTTTTTAAACACTCTATCCACTCATTGTCCACTCTGTTAGACACTCCTACCTTGTCAGTCCACTTTGTAGATGTAAAGTCAGAGACGATAGCTCATCTGCTGCTGCACAGTTTGTGTTGGTCATCCTCTAGTCCTTCATCAGTGGTCACAGGATGCTGCCCACAGGACGCTGTTGGCTGGATATTTTTGGATCTCATTCCAGCAGCGACACTGAGGTGTTTCAAAACTCCAGCAATACTGCTGTGTCTGATCCACTCAGACCAGCACAACACACACTAACACACCACCACCATGTCAGTGTTACTGCAGTGCTGAGAATGACCCACCACCCAAATAGTACCTGCTCTGTGAGGGTCCTGTGGGGGTCCTGACCACTGAAGAACCAGGTAACAAAGTGCTCAGAGAAACAGATGGACTACAGTCTGTAACTGTAGAACTACAGAGTTAAACGATATGGTCAGTGGAGCTGATACAGTGGACAGTGAGTGTAAAAATAAAGAGCTGGATGTAATGAATTTCATCAATACTCTACAACCTCAGATCAACTATTAAAACTAAGCAAAAACTGCATGTATTGTAAATTCCTTTCTTCTTTTTTTCTGACAAACATGCTCAGTTTGTTCAGTTTGTTTACCTGCCTACTTTGCTAACAATCAAACACTATGAGGCAAATGTGTTATTTGCCCCCTGGTGGCCTCAGGGCAGCTACTGTATCACTGATCATGAAGACCTGCTTGGCTTGAAATGTTACTTGCTGAAGTTTAAAAAAAAAAAATTAAGGACAGTTTGCTGCCCCCATTAGCCTCCATGGTGATGTCACAGCTCACCTTCACTTCATCTACCAACCAGTGTTAGTGAACTGACCTTGGTTTAGAATGTGGGGTCGTCATGGTTCATAGCGCCGCTGTAGACATTTTCCACAAACACCAGCTCCAGTAAACGAACACCTGCTCCAAGCTGAGCTGTCGATCTTTCAGATACCGACAGCTTTTGAGGGAGAAAATGAAAACTGTTCCACTGAAGTTGCTGCAGCAGCAACTTCAAAGCACAAACTGCATGTTAACGTTAGGACACAGAAGTTCTTTTACTCTGTATGACAAAGTTTATTCCTTTATTAATTGCACAAAGTAATTTTTCTCAGCTTATCATCACGTGACAAACCACGGTGTTGAGTGTGCTTGTGTGTGTTTCAGGCCTGAACCGAAATCCAACGCTGCAGTCAAGTCACCTGTGAAAGCACATATAGTAGAAACACCTGCAGCAGGTACACCTGCAGTTAAGACACCTATAATAGGAACACCTGCAATCAAGGCACATCCTGTGGAATCCTCAACAGCGGAAATGCCAGAAGTACAAAAACCTGCAGTCAAATCACCTGAAGTAAAAACTCTAGCACCAGAAACACCTGCAGCAGGTACATCTTCAATTAAGACACCTTTAGTGGAAACGCCTGCAGCAAAGGCATTTGTGGTAGAAGCACCTGCAGCAAAAGCACCTGTGGTAGAAGCACCTGCAGCAAAAGCACCTGTGGTAGAAACACCTGCAGCAAAGGCACCTGTTGCAGAAGCACCTGCGGCAAAGGCACCTGTGGTAGAAGCACCTGCCGCAAAGGCACCTGTGGTAGAAGCACCTGCCGCAAAGGCACCTGTGGTAGAAGCACCTGCAGCAAAAGCACCTGTGGTAGAAGCACCTGCAGCAAAAGCACCTGTGGTAGAAACACCTGCAGCAAAGGCACCTGTTGCAGAAACACCTGCGGCAAAGGCACCTGTGGTAGAAGCACCTGCGGCAAAGGCACCTGTGGTAGAAGCACCTGCCGCAAAGGCACCTGTGGTAGAAACACCTGCCGCAAAGGCACCTGTTGCAGAATCACCTGCCGCAAAGGCACCTGTTGCAGAATCACCTGCCGCAAAGGCACCTGTGGTAGAAACACCTGCCGCAAAGGCACCTGTGGTAGAAGCACCTGCAGCAAAGGCATTTGTGGTAGAAGCACCTGCGGCAAAGGTACCTGTGGTAGAAACACCTGTGGCAAAGGCACTTGTTGCGGAAGCACCTGTGGCAAAGGCACCTGTGGTAGAAATACCTGCGGCAAAGGCACTTGTTGCAGAAGCACCTGTGGCAAAGGCACTTGTTGCAGAAGCACCTGTGGCAAAGGCACTTGTTGCAGAAACATCTGTGGCAAAGGCACCTGTGGTAGAAACATCTGCGGCAAAGGCACCTGTGGTAGAAGCACCTGCGGCAAAGGCACCTGTGGTAGAAGCACCTGCAGCAAAAACACTTGTAGTAGAAACACCTGTTACAAAGGCACGTGAAGTAAAAACATCTGCAGTAGAAACACCTGCACCAAAGGCACCTGTTGTAGAAACACCTGTGGCAGAAAAACCTGTGGCGAAAGTACCTGTAGTTGAAGCACCTGCAATAAAGGCACCTGAAGTAAAAACACCTGCAGTTAAAGAACCTGGGACAGAAACACCTGTGGCAGGAACAGCTGCAGCTACACCTGCAGCAAAGGCACCTGAAGTGAAAAGACTTGCAGTTAAGGAATGTGTCATAGAAACACCTGCTCTTAAAGAGGAAAAACCTGCAGTAGAATCGTCCACACAGGTCAGCAAACCTGCTTCCCAGCCTTCAACCTCAGAACCGAGAGCAGAACTTCAGACTAACTCTGGACCAGCTGCTGCAGCACAAAACCCAGCAGGGGGCGCCAGCAAACCTCAAACCATGTGAGTCTGACTTTAAATATATGTGTTCTTCTGTGGTTTTATACAGGTGATGAGCTAACCTTAATGCAGTTAGCAGTGCAGGCTAACCATTCATGAACTACTACTCATTATTCATGAACTAATATGTATTATACAGTATCTAATATGAATTAATATCTATAAAGAAGCCAGTGTGGAGCCACATACAGACTCATATACAGATTTTAAAGGGTTAATATTTTTCTCTCTCTCTCTCTGTCTCTCTCTCTCTCTCTCTCTCTCTGTATTCTCTCTCTCTCTCTCTGCAGTGCTAAAGGGAAGGTCCTGTGCTCATTCTGTGCTAAGCCCGTTGACGGTAATGTGAAAATCTCTCTGAACGTTCCTCCGATCTGCTGCCACCCTGAATGCTTTAAGGTACCGTCAACATTCAGCCTCATCAATACACAATCACTTCTGCATGTTTTCCTCTTTGTGCTTTTTGTGCTGTTTACTTCTCACTAAATGTTGATAATAAATGTTGTGAACTGTGTGTTGCTCAGTATGTAGTTTACTGTGTGTGTATTAAACTGTTTGTTTATGTGTTTGGTGGTAACACAGAGTTGAATTACATCTTGTTGCACTGGATACAATGACCACGCGACATGTGTGGCAATAAAAGAATCAATCAAGTAATCAGTCAATCAATCGATCAGCTAGCTCTAACTTTTAAAAAGTAAAAAGACAATAAATACATAAAATACTTAATCAAACAAACAGGCCAGTTAGAGACGCTGAACTTTTCCGAGGACGCCGCAGATACAGGGGCCCCATTTTTAGTTTTTCAGGGATTTTTTTTGTGATTTTCAGGGGCAAAAAATTCCTACTGCCTCCCGGTGGCTGGGAGGAGGAGCTGCAGTGTGTTTATGTTTCCGTGTGTTTGTGTTCACAGTGCGGGAAGTGCGGAAAGCCACTGGGTGACCTGCTGTTCTCCATGTTCCACCACAGCGGGAACATCTACTGCGAGATCTGCTTCGACACCATCTTCCACAGCAGATAACTCATCACCATGGCAACCTGCTCTTCCCCAAGACTATGCATCACACCCGCAGCAACACTTCAACGGTTCTTTAATAAAGATAATGGTTCTATATAGAACCATAAACACTCAACAGACCATTAATATGATTAAATGATTCTCTGAAATGGTTCTTCGGACTGATGGAGAATGTTTTGCATGTGGTTCTATACAGCACCAAAAACAGTTCTGCTACTATGTACAAGCTTCACGTCGTGACAACAGCAGAACCCCTCTTGGTGCTATATAGAATCATATACAACACATTCTCCGTCAATCTGAAGAATATTTTATCATGCAGAGAACCATTTAAGCATGCAAAGGGTTCCTTCTTACAGAACCATTGTCTTTCTTGAAGAACCTTTAAAGAACCATATTTTTACAATTGTGGGTTTGTTGTTTTTCATTCACATAATCTGTAAAATATCTTTTCTGTATTGAACTTTTATCACCGAATGCAGTGACTCAAAAATCTGAGAAACACATTAAACTCTTATTTTGAAATAAACAACAGAAAATGTTCGATGTTGAAACACAAAGGAAAGTTTCAGTAAAAAACATTGAAGATTCTGCGTTTTTCATGCTGAAGCGAATCCGTGATGTTGACGATGTTAAGGTCTCTGTAAAAACCTCAGGTTGATTTTCGAGTCCTGCAGATTAACGAACTACTAAGAAATTCTAAAATTCATTCAGATGTTTAAGGTTCTACTTTTCACTCAAATCGTTATGACGAAAATCATTTCTGGCCTTAAAGCTGGTATTAAATTAGAAAATCATGTAAAACAGGATCGTTTTCACTCCAACCTGTTAGATCCGTAATGCGCCTCTATGTCTAGTGTGAAGTGCTCGTCTGTATTTTCTGTGTAACCAGATGAAAACTCCATCATACAGAGTCTTTATTATGAGCGGCAGCTCTGTGTCTGATATGCTGTAAATGTCTGATCTTTTATTACGGCGCCTGTTTAGAGGAATGTTTCCATCCTATTACACCAAACTGAGACTAAACTGGCAAAAAATGTTAAATTACTTGTTAAATATGTTTTATCCATCAACACGGGAACTGATTCTGATTTTGCTTGTAATTAAAAATCAAAAAGACTTTACAGAATTTTTATGGTTTTCTGAATGCTGGGTTTTGTGCTGCAGCAGCAATCAAATAAATTTTAGTCAGCAGGACACAAATTTTACTGCTACTGAGCGCTGATTGGTTAGAAATGCTGCTACTGAGTGTTGATTGGTTAGAAATGCTGCTACTGAGTGCTGATTGGTTAGCATTACTGCTACTGACACTGATTAGTTAGCATTACTGCTACTGAGTGCTGATTGTTCAGAAATTCTGCTACTGAGTGCTGATTGGTTGGCATTACTGCTACTGAGTGCTGATTCACTGATCAATGCAGTTCTCACTCTCACTGACATCATAAATATAAAAATTCATGTCTCATCACTGGATAAAAGCGTGAAAATATAACAGCAGTGTTGAAATATTTGATGCTTTTCTGTTTTGAGTGAAAATGAAAATAATTGAAAACTTACAAATTACGATTTTCTACAGGAGCTGCATAGAAGCACTCTATTGCTCAAAGGCGTCCTCTCGTGTCTGACAGATATGATTACATCAAAGGATTCACATCAGATCAGAAATAAATGTAAAAAAGACTTTTAATGTAATATACGCCAAAAAATGCAAATAAACAGTTTCATTAAAGAAAATTAGTTTAATGTGTAATGATACACAAGCCGACTGCAGCGTTACTGACACTCACATTTCATACATCACGTTATTTTACGTTACATCTTTATCATAAAATGTGCAGAACAGCAATAAATTAGTCTGTTTGTTTGTTTGTAGCACCGTTGTTGAAGAGATTCTCCAAACACACAGACACACACACACACACACACACACACACACACACACACACACACACACACACACACACACAGACACACACACACAGACACACACACACACACACACACACACACACAGACACACACACACACACAATGTAATTGTATGTAAACGATATGAGAGCAGAAACACTTTCAGTCAAAGTTAATCACATTTAATTTGTTTACTTCAGATAATATAGATAAAATAGACAAATATTAAAGCATCTTTATATAATTGAATCAGAGTATGGAGAACCGGTTCTCCTTTAGAACCAACAGAGATTATTTGATAAATCAAACTTATGGACAGAAAAAGGAGAGAAAAGAGAGTGAAAGATGAAAAGATACAGAGAAAGAGAGAAAAGAGAGAGAGACAGATGAAAAGAGTGAGAGGTGGAGAGAGAGACAGAGGGAGAGAGAGTGATGTAGAATTAGCTGTCTGATATTAAGGATCTCGGAGAATGGAGTGATGATGAAGGACGTTTGAAGGAGAAAAGCAGTGATGAAACGATAAAGAGGAACCAGAAGAGCAGCTCCGCCCCCAACAGCCCCCCCCACCCCCACACTGAATGGACCAATCAGCTGTGATGGCTGATTATTTACATTTATGTGTTTCTTTATTCATTTATTATGTATTTATTCATCTGGTTAATTTTACATGCGAAATATGATTGAAACTGTGTGAAATTTATCACTTTAATTTGATTCAGTTTAACTCTATTCTGTTCCATTCAATTCAGTTCAATTTAATTCTGTTAAGTTCAGTTCAACTCAACTCAATTCAATTCAATTCAATTCAATTCAGTTCAATTTCATTCAGTTTATTTCATTTTAGTTCAACACAGTTCAGTTCAACTCAAATCAACTCAACTCAGTTCAGATCAGTTTGAATAAATTCAGTTCAGTACAACTCAAATCAACTCAATTAGACTAAATTCAGTTCAGTTCATTCAGATTTTTTTCTGTGGCGTTTAGTGAATCGGAGCCAGTGAGTCTGTGTGAGTGTAAACTGTGTTTTAGTGAAAGTGCTGTTAATGTTTATCAGTTCTGACAATCAAAGCAGAAACACACAAAAACAACATTGAAAAAATTCTCCACATTGATGCTCTTCAAACGCGTACAGATGATTCGCAGAGGCTGAAATATAAACTCTGCAGACGAGGTTTAATTTCAGAATTTCTAATATAAGAACTGTAAATGAAGCGCGTGAGACTCGTTAGAGTTTAGCGGTGATTACAGCCGCTGATTCACTCTGTTTAGTAGGTGTTTAGATCTTTCTCCTGTTACCTGCTGTTACATGTGTTTCCTTGTTGTCTCGTTTGTTTGTTTGTTTGTAAGTGGGTGTGTGTTTTCCAGACAGAGGGCTTCATGACACTCTTCAGCAATTCCCCCATGGGCCCGGTCGCCGTGACAACGCAACAGCAAGCACAGCAGTGCACATCAGAGAGGAGAAAAGTTGCCTAGCAACACTGCGCCTAGCAACACTGCTCCTAGCAAGACTGCATCTAGCAACGGATCCCCTTCCTGCCCAGAAACCTCAGGACGGCATAGTTATAGGTGGTGGCTACAATATAGAGCACCTACAGAGAGAGAGAGAGAGAGAGAGTTAGAGAGAGAGTTAGAGACAGAAAGGAAGAGAGAAACACAGACAGAGAGAGAGAGAAAGGGGGAGAGAGAGAGAGAGAGAGAAAGGGGGAGAGAGAGAGACAGAGAGAGAGAGAGACAGAGAGAGAGACAGAGAGAGAGACAGAGACAGAGAGAGAGAAAGGGAGAGAGAGAGAGAGGAAGAGAGAAACACAGAGAGAGAGAGAGGAAACATAGAGAGAGAGAAAGAGAGAGAGAGAGAGACAGAGAGAGAGAAAGGGAGAGAGAGATATATAGAGAGGGGGGGAGACAGAGAGAGGGAGAGAGAGATGGAGAGAAGACAGAGAGAGAGAGAAAGGGAGAGAGAGATAGAGAGAGGGAGAGAGAGAGAGAGAGAGAGGCAGAGAGAGATAGAGAGAGAGAGACAGAGAAAGAGAGAGAGAGAGAGACAGAGAGAGAGAGAGAGAGAGAGAGGGTAAGTGCACAGGAGCAGAGAGTCCATGTGAGAGCTGAGAGGTGAAAGGTCACTCACCAGAGCAAGAAGAGTGATTCCTGCTCCAGCAAATGCAGCGATGTAGAAATCATAGGTCACATAGAACTGAAAACAGACAGACAGACAGACAGACAGGCAGACAGACAGACAGACTGATGAAATAATGAAGTCATAGCCGTCAGTGCAGCTCAGTTTCAGTACATTTTAAAACTCCAGTCTAAAATCAGGTCTGAACTCATTAAAGTCTCAGTACGTTTGTATTTGTGGTTTTAATATAAAACAGCAGAAAAATCTTTAACGATCATCAGTGACCCTCATTAGAATCCATCTGAACTAAGGTGTGTGTGTGTGTGTGCGTGTGTGTGTGTGTGTGTGTGTGTGTGTGTGTGTGTGTGTGTGTTTGTACCTCTGGGGTTTTACAGATGCTGGCCATTGTCATTCCACACACTTTACCGGGTGTAGCACTCCAGGGTAGCAGTCCTGTGCACACACACACACACACACACACACACACAGACACACACACACAGACAGACACACACAATGATCAGAAACAGTGCTGCGTTTCCTCAATACTATGTCTTGTTATTATAAATCATCTTCATATTTGTTAATCAGTAACTTCTCTGAACTGTTCAGCCTCACTATTAACTTCACATCAACTACTGTGAATGATTACGGTGTAATGTAGTATTTATGTAGTATTTGATATTAATTATTATTATTATTATTATTATTATTATTAATGTAATGTCGTTGTGAGGAACTGAGGTGTGTGATGGTCTTCGGGGTTTACGGGAGTAAAATCCCGCGTGTTCGTACCGAACTGCCGAGCGTCGATGCAGACCCATCCATGCTGACTCAGGCTGGTGGTCGTCTCAGACAGGATGTTGACTGTGTGACACGTTTCGGCCATGTTGTACAGGAAGTAGACGGGAATCGCAGCGAACGCGAAGACGACCAGCCAAATGATCGCCAACACGTACGTCACGATGATGAACTACAGAGACAGAACAAACAACATCATAGAGACACAGCGAACACTCAGCCTCTCCAGGCCACGCCCACAAACACCTTCTGACATAGACGCTGCTGAGCTTTACAGAACTATTTCACCTACTGACAAACTGTATATACACCCACCTGGACAGTCACTCTACAGGTAGGTATTGTGATATAAACTGACTCTGTTCTACAGTTTCTCATTAGGTTGAATGAATAGCCGACTCTAAATGTAGGTATTGTGATATAAACTCAGTCTGTTCTACAGTTTCTCATTAGGCTGAATGAATAACCGACTCTAAATGTAGGTATTGTGATATAAACTGACTCTGTTCTACAGTTTCTCATTAGGCTGAATGAATAACTGACTCTAAATGTAGGTATTGTGATATAAACTCAGTCTGTTCTACAGTTTCTCATTAGGCTGAATGAATAACCGACTCTAAATGTAGGTATTGTGATATAAACTGACTCTGTTCTACAGTTTCTCATTAGGCTGAATGAATAACTGACTCTAAATGTAGGTATTGTGATATAAACTCAGTCTGTTCTACAGTTTCTCATTAGGTTGAATGAATAGCTGACTCTAAATGTAGGTATTGTGATATAAACTGAGTCTGTTCTACAGTTTCTCATTAGGTTGAATGAATAACCGACTCTAAATGTAGGTATTGTGATATAAACTGAGTCTGTTCTACAGTTTCTCATTAGGTTGAATGAATAACCGACTCTAAATGTAGGTATTGTGATATAAACTGAGTCAGATTTTTTTGGGTTTAATGGGTGTCAAGAGCACATTTATGGGCGGAGCCTGTAGAGGGGAATGGTATAGGGATAATTAATTGATTGGAATCCAACCAGATGTTCATGTGCTCTGATTATGGTCATTTCCATGCAGGGCTTTTCATATGAATTAATACTGTAGTTTTGTATATTAAATGTTTTCGGCTCTGTCCAGCTGTGTAAACACTCACGGTGAGGCTGAGGCAGCGGCTGCACTGGGTGCTGCGAAACTCTCCGAAGGTTTGTTTGACGGCGCTGGTGGTGTAGAAACCCTCAGCCAGCAGCAGAATCCCGTACAGGAAGAAGAAGGACGCCAGGCCGTAGATCACATACTGGAAATATTTAATACTGAAAATAAAGCAAACTTTTATAAATCTTTGATGCAAATACACATAAAAACAATAACCAGTGACAAATTCTGCAGACATAATGTGTGATTTAAACCATTAAATACTGTTTGCTGAATAATATATTAAAGTTAAATATATTTACACTCCAAAAAATTATGTCCTGGCACTGAACGGATCTAATAATATATCTTATTATTAGATGATTGTAGGAATATTATTCGATTATTTAACTTATTTCCAGAGGTTTCTGCTTGTTTTCTGCTTAATTTTATGTTGTGTTAAGTGAAATTGTCCGGCTATATTGGCAAATAAGTTTGCTTATTGTAACAAACATGCTTGAAACCATCTTAATTCTCTGCCAGTATCTCAAAATGAGATATATTTCATATTGAGTAGATTTAAGATAATTTCACTTGGCAAGAAATCATTTTTGCTGTGCATATATTATTATTTTCCCAACAAAGTACTGAAATGTTCATTTCTACGTTTTTAAAATATACATAAATAAGATCACCCACTATGTAAATCCCCTGTTATCATGGTCACAGTATGATATCAGCTTCAGCGCACAACGCTTTACAAAATAGCAATTTCTGTTTGAACATTGTGCTGAAACATCTGTCTACCAATATCCGGGAACCGCTGACAGAACAGTACGTTTAATTAGCTTTAGTTAAGTTTAATACCAGCAGTGCTCATTACTGCCGTAGAACCGCACTGCTGCTCTTAAAAGATGGTTCTACAAGGGTTCTTCATTAAAGAGAATGATTTTATGCAGAACCATGAACATTCAAAGAATCAGTTGCATGTTTTAATGGTTCTTTGCATGGAGAAAACATTCCTCAGATTGATGGAGAATGTGCTGCAAATGGTTCTATATAGAACCTTTTTGAAAATGGTTCTATATTTCACCTAAAAGGGTTCTTTTATTGTTACAAGCTTGACTTTGTAACAATATACAATAGAACAACAGAAGAACCCTTTTTGGTGAAGTATAGAACCATACACAACACATTCTCCATCAGTTACTGTTAAAGCATGTAATGGGTTCTTTGAGTGTTCATGGTTCTAAATAGAACCATTATCTTGACCATGAACGTTTTGATCAACAATTTAAAACATTCATTTTTTATCAAGTTTAAAACTGACAACATGCTTTTTGTTCACTTATTAATTTTATCTCTTCTTTTGATTTATTCCTTTCATTTTTTGATTCTTTGTTGAAATGGTTTTATTTTATTTATACGACTTATTACTTTCATTTGTTGGATTTTTTTATTGTTTGTTTTGTCTTTTTTGCTCATTTTTCTCTGTCACTTTTATTGTGAAGCACTTTGAGCTGCATTTTAATGCATGAAAGGTGCTAATTGAATAAACATGGTTATTATTATTGAAGAACGCTGGAAGAACCATGTTTTAAGTGTGGCATTCATGCTAGCAAATAGCTAGCCAGCTAGCTCAACTGCTAATAAACTAGCTCATATTTTTCACAGGTGGCGCAACCTGGATTTTAGCGTTAGTGTTGATTTGTGTTGACCTAAAACTGGCCAATATGCCACGATCTGAATGTAACCAACAGCAGCTGAGTTAGCAGACATACATTCTGTGGCTAAAGGTTTCTTATTATCATGTAATTATCTTCTAATTATCCTCATCATCTTCTAATTAGCAGGGTGGTAATATAAAGGACCATAACAGGTTCAAGATTATTTTGTGTCATGAAAAACAGAGCTCACACATAACGACACACCAGCCATCACTGCACAAAAACGCTGAGAAAATCAATAGAAAACTGTAAAATTAGCACTATGGTAACACTATTTGATTGAGTCATGTTCTGAGCCAATATACACACAGCTATGAGCTCCTCATAATAACTGAATTCTGTTCTAAAAACTACTGAACTCATTCTGCCCATGTCAACAACTCAATGAGGTTAGAACCCAGTTCTATTTAAACTGAGAAGCTGAGGACTTGAATTTTCTTAACAAGTAGACTAAAAGACGTCAAGCTAAACAGGCTAAAAGAAGGCAGACTAAACATGCTAAAAGACGGCAGGCTAAACAGGCTAAAAGACGTCAGGCTAAACAGGCTAAAAGAAGGCAGGCTAAACAGGCTAAAAGACGGCAGGCTAAACAGGCTAAAAGACGTCAGGCTAAACAGGCTAAAAGACGGCAGGCTAAACAGGCTAAAAGATAACAGACTAAACAAGCTAAAAGACGTCAGGCTAAACAGGCTAAAAGACAGCAGGCTAAACAGGCTAAAAGATGTCAGACTAAGCAGGCTAAAAGATGTCAGACTAAACATGCTAAAAGACATCAGGCTAAACAGGCTAAAAGACGGCAGACTAAACATGCTAAAAGACGGCAGGCTAAACAGCCTAAAAGATGTCAGCCTAAACAGGCAAAAAGATGTCAGGCTAAACAGGATAAAAGATGGCAGACTAAACAGGCTAAAAGACGGCAGACTAAACAGGCTAAAAGACGTCAGGCTAAACATGCTAAAAGATGTCAGGCTAAACAGGCTAAAAGAAGGCAGGCTAAACAGGCTAAAAGATAACAGACTAAACAAGCTAAAAGACGTCAGGCTAAACAGGCTAAAAGACGGCAGTCTAAACAGGCTAAAAGACATCAGGCTAAACAGGCTAAAAGACGTCAGACTAAACAGGCTAAAAGAAGTCAGGCTAAACAGGCTAAAAGACAGCAGGCTAAACAGGCTAAAAGATGTCAGACTAAACAGGCTAAAAGACGGCAGACTAAACAGGCTAAAAGACGTCAGGCTAAACAGGCTGAAAGACAGCCAGGCTAAACAGGCTAAAAGACGGCAGGCTAAACAGGCTAAAAGAAGGCAGACTAAACAGGCTAAAAGACATCAGGCTAAACAGGCTAAAAGACAGCTAGGCTAAACAGGCTAAAAGACATCAGGCTAAACAGGCTAGCAAACTAAACATGCTAAAAGATGGCAGACTAAACAGGCTAAAAGATGGCAGACTAAACAGGCTAAAAGAAGGCAGGCTAAACAGGCTAAACAGGCAAACAGACTAAACAGGCTAAAAGACGGCAGGCTAAACAGGCTAAAAGACGGCAGTCTAAACAGGCTAAAAGACATCAGGCTAAACAGGTTAAAAGACGTCAGACTAAACAGGCTAAAAGAAGTCAGGCTAAACAGGCTAAAAGATGTCAGGCTAAACAGGCTAAAAGATGGCAGACTAAACAGGCTAAATGACGGCAGGCTAAACAGGCTAAAAGACGGCAGACTAAACAGGCTAAAAGATGGCAGGCTAAACAGGCTAAAAGAAGACGGCAGACTAAACAGGCTTAAAGATGGCAGACTAAACAGGCTAAAAGACGTCAGGCTAAACAGGCTAAAAGACAGCTAGGCTAAACAGGCTAAAAGACGGCAGGCTAAACAGGCTAAAAGACGTCAGACTAAACAGGCTAAAAGACGGCAGGCTAAACAGGCTAACAGACGTCAGGCTAAACAGGCTAAAAGACGGCAGGCTAAACAGGCTAACAGACGGCAGGCTAAACAGGCTAAAAGACGGCAGGCTAAACAGGCTAAAAGAAGACGGCAGACTAAACAGGCTTAAAGATGGCAGACTAAACAGGCTAAAAGACATCAGGCTAAACAGGCTAAAAGACAGCTAGGCTAAACAGGCTAAAAGACGGCAGGCTAAACAGGCTAAAAGACGTCAGACTAAACAGGCTAAAAGACGTCAGACTAAACATGCTAAAAGATGGCAGACTAAACAGGCTAAAAGATGGCAGACTAAACAGGCTAAAAGACGGCAGGCTAAACAGGCAAACAGACGTCAGGCTAAACAGGCTAAAAGATGGCAGGCTAAACAGGCTAACAGACGGCAGGCTAAACAGGCTAACAGACGTCAGGCTAAACAGGCTAAAAGAAGGCAGGCTAAACAAGCTAAAAGACGTCAGGCTAAAAAGGCTAAAAGACGGCAGACTAAACAGGCTAAAAGACGGCAGACTAAACAGGCTAAAAGAAGGCAGGCTAAACAGGCTAAACAGGCAAACAGACTAAACAGGCTAAAAGACGGCAGGCTAAACAGGCTAACAGACGTCAGGCTAAACAGGCTAAAAGACGGCAGGCTAAACAGGCTAACAGACGGCAGGCTAAACAGGCTAAAAGACGTCAGGCTAAACAGGCTAAAAGAAGACGGCAGACTAAACAGGCTTAAAGATGGCAGACTAAACAGGCTAAAAGACGTCAGGCTAAACAGGCTAAAAGACGGCAGACTAAACAGGCTAAAAGATGGCAGGCTAAACAGGCTAAAAGACGTCAGGCTAAACAGGCTAAAAGACGGCAGGCTAAACAGGCTAAAAGACGTCAGGCTAAACAGGCTAAAAGAAGACAGGCTAAACAGGCTGAAAGATGGCAGACTAAACATGCTAAAAGACGGCAGGCTAAACAGCCTGAAAGATGTCAGGCTAAACAGGCTGAAAGACGGCAGACTAAACAGGCTAAAAGACGGCAGGCTAAACAGCCTAAAAGACGTCAGGCTAAACAGGCAAAAAGATGTCAGACTAAACAGGCTAAAAGACGGCAGGCTAAACAGCCTAAAAGATGTCAGGCTAAACAGGCTAAAAGAAGGCAGGCTAAACAGGCTGAAAGACGGCAGACTAAACATGCTAAAAGACGGCAGGCTAAACAGCCTAAAAGATGTCAGCCTAAACAGGCAAAAAGATGTCAGGCTAAACAGGCTAAAAGATGTCAGGCTAAACAGGCTAAAAGAAGGCAGGCTAAACAGGCTAAAAGATAACAGACTAAACAAGCTAAAAGACGTCAGGCTAAACAGGCTAAAAGACGGCAGTCTAAACAGGCTAAAAGACATCAGGCTAAACAGGCTAAAAGACGTCAGACTAAACAGGCTAAAAGAAGTCAGGCTAAACAGGCTAAAAGACAGCAGGCTAAACAGGCTAAAAGATGTCAGACTAAACAGGCTAAAAGACGGCAGACTAAACAGGCTAAAAGACGTCAGGC